CTGGGAGATTGCAACCAAAAAGGCTGGAGAAGCAATGAGAACGTAAAAGTCGTTTCACCAGAATAGTGAGAGCATCATTCAAATAGGCAACATAAGTTGGTATGTTTTAATATAGACGTAAAAATCCTTTCAAGCGAGTTAGTAACTGCATAAAGTATGCGGAAACACACACAATTTACAAGTGTTTCAGGAATGAATGGCTTCAAAATCGATCATTGTGGGGTTGCTGAAACATTCATCATATCATATTATATACTTTACTGATCTTTACTGTACTATACCATACTGTATGGAAAATATTTATATATATATGATATACTATATATATATAGACTCATACATTTAATCATGTATACAAATATATATATATATATGTAATATATACATACACGTTGATATACTCGGCCATGTATGGTAACCTCAGCAGCTAAAGCCCTGGACATCTCTTGTGCTGCCTGGACTTCTTTGGTTTCTTAATTGCGGGCGATGGCAACGAACAAGTGTTTACCCGCATCAAGGGCCTGCAACAGAAAGTCAACCTGTTTTCTCACGTATAGAAATGAAGTTGCCTGACACGAGCAGCTTAAAAACATACACTTGGTTGATGGTTCTAGGGGATAGGATGCGGCTTATCATACAGTCCATTGGTAATTTTTAAACAACAGACCACTTCTGCCCAGGGAATGCACGATAAGCCACAGCCGGAGGGCAAGCCGCTGTTAGTGACGATGGGAACTCGTCAACCCGGAGAAGGGAAAGGAAAAGGAAAAGATGGAGGCTGGGGCCACTACTTAAGCATCTTAAGTTGAAGACGGTGGGGGGCTAGGGGACGACATATGATATGGGATTCCCTTGAGCATTTTCCCCTGCAACAAAAAAAGTGAAACCAGATGAAGCATGTTTGGGATATTACCCTGTTTTTGACCATGTTGAAGGCAAAATGTTCACCACGCCCCTTTGAAAACGGCTGTAAAATTTCCATGGTTTTTAGCCCAGATGTTTTCCATCAAAGTAAGACGCTGGTTATAGGATGATTGGGGACAGTTTGAGGAGCAAGGAAGGTAGTCTTCTAGCCAGCAAACCTGCTAACTTGACGTTCAAATCAATACATGGCATACGACCAACCAAGAAGCAGCATACAAGCTACAATCAGAATAGAATCACGAAAGATGGTAGAATGTAGTCAAGAAAGCGGAGTATTTGAGCAGCCTGTATGGAGCTACAAAGTGGGATGCTTGAAAGTCGAAGTCACACCGGGTATCAAATCCGTGGTGTCCATGGAAGCTTTGAACAAAATTTGGAGCCCCTGCATTGAAGGACCCCAGAAGCTGAAATCCACGGTGAGTGAAGCACAATCTGGCAACAGATTCCATGGCAAGCAGGACCCTGCTTTCCTTAAGAACTCACCTATGCGCAGGAAGCTTGAACTTGAAAAACAATGAAAAACATATTACACCCTGGTCATCAAACATGGAAATGGAAAATATTCCGTTCACTTTATATATATATATGTTTACATGTGTATGTATATATGTATATATGTATAATTATATTTATTGTATCTATACTTACTCCATACTTAAGTGAGTCTCTCATCATTGTATGTCCATTTAGTTAGGAGCTACGGAATTTAGCTAGCCATGTTTCAGCACGCCAAAGGGTCTGGTCTCCAGGATATTGCGACAAATTTGAGTCCCATCCCTCCCCCGTGGGGCTCGTCTGACAGACTCAGAATGAACTTGCGGACGTAGCCAAACCAGTCTGTTGATGGCTCATACATGTTCATACCCCCTTTGTTGTGGCTAAGTTTCTGCATGTTTCTACAAAGCCCTATTCCCAGCAAAATTTCCCCAAGTCTGGATTGAATCCCAAGCTTTCACATGCAGAATTGGATGATGGGAAAAATTGTTTGGGTTTCATCCTTTCCTTCTCAGGGCAAAAACACCATGGTTTCCTGGGTAAAACATACCAGGCCTCAGTGACTGGTTCTGCTGTCCACCTCAGGCGAGAAAGGCAAAGGCAAAGGCAAAGGCGCGGTTGATTCCCGATCAATGAATGAACTCCCGGGCTGTTAGGTGCCAGTTTCTAGCAAAGTGATGATTCTGTTCATGGTATGTGGGAGGAAATTGGGCATGCCCCAAAAGTATGCAATCATGCATACCTGCCCTTGTTGTATCCAAGACTAGTCTTGTTTTGATTCCTTCGTTCAAGGCGGCAAAGGCAAAGGCGAAGCACAGGGACAGCAACTTGGTGGCACTGGTTTCATGTCAGGGAGTGAACCAGTTTTATTCAGCCAGATTTAGATCAGATTAGTTCGAGACAATGAAATGCTGTCATGTATTCCCCCTGTTTGTTAAACGTGCCCGAAGTGGGACGAAAGATAATGGGAAAAAGGACAACACCGCGGAAAAGGCTGCCTCTCCCCTGTGCTCAGTGCACGCAAACACTGTTTGTGATTAGATTTTTTGAAAGCTCAACGCCATCATAGAACCTTCAAGAATATTCGACAGCTTGCAGTCTCATCTAATTTGGACCATTACTGAGACAGACTGCCATTTCTTGTCCCACCAGAATGACACCCGCAACAGCCAGGTATCCTTACGGCAACTATCCGTACTCGCAGGAACAGGTTCAAGTGTAGTTGACCTTGTTAGGGCCTGTCTGGGTCCATAATTTCCACCCATTCTGAACTAGTTCAGATTCAGCGACTTGAAATATGTTGATGTTCCGTGTCTCCTTGAGATCATAGTGCCAATTAGTAGACACATGTTGATCATTGATAGGTTGGCCACCGGTCTTTTGACAACCATGGGTGTGGCTACAACGCCTCGGCGATTCATCTCCGGTACTATCAATAGATATCATAGGCTCTCCAGTCAAGGTAAAGGACAAGTGCTTATCCGCATAAAGGGCCTGCAAAAGAACGTCAACCGGGTTTCTCATTCATATGAATGAAATGGCCTTTAATGAGCAATTTTAAAAAGATTTAAAAATATTATCGGTTGGCTGATGATTATAATCATAGTTTTAGGATATTCTACCCTGCCCTTTAAATTTGTATTTGCGGATTATCATCTTGGCCATTAGTAAATACCAAAGAGAGAACTTCTCCCCAGGGCATGCCCTTTGTTAGTGCCTCAGCCGGAGGGCAAGCAGCTGTCGCTGACCATGGCCACCCGTCAACCCGGAGAAGGAACCGGGAAAGGAAAAGATGGAGGCTGGCTGCTTAAGCTGGGGATGGTGGACTGGGGAACAACATATGATATCGGTTGATATGGGGGGTTCTATTAATGGGGTTACCCCAAAAGCTTGATGGTTTATAGATGTTGTAAGTCAAAATCCAATGCGTGATTGGGAGGTGCCCCCATTTTAGTGCTCAAGGGCATGGCAAAAACATTTTTGGGGACACTGCGCTGATTTTGAGCATGTTTCTGGGATGATTTCCTTCAAAGTCCGACGCCGGCTATAGGACATTGGGGCTAGTTTGGAGAGCAAAGAAGATAGTCTTATAGCCAGCAAACCTGTCCGAAGGAAGTTTAGAAGTCAAACTTCCGACAATATGGACAGATGGAAGAAGAGACAGGAAGAAGAGTCAGAAGAGAGAAGATGTAGCTGTGCTAAAAGGTAGAAAGTCAGGAAACACTGTGTTTTTCCAATGGTTTGTGGCTCCGGAGGGTCGAAAAGTAGGCTCGCTAAAGCGGTGGAGCCATGTGGTCAGATGAGAGATGAAAAGTCGCACGCCGTTGTGGCGCGAAGCACATTTCCAAGTCAGAATGCGCAAAACACACTTCAGCTTCGGAGCACTTTTAGAAGTTGCGATGTCGAAAAAGTGCACGCCGTTGTGCCGCGAAGCACATTTGCAAGCCAAAATGTACAAAACACACCAGCTTCAAAGCACTTGTGGAAGTTGAGATGTTCAAAAAGTGCACGCCGCTGTGGCGCGAAGCACTTGTCCAAGTCAAAGGTGTTAAAAACTGACGGGTTTGGAGCATTTTTTGAAGTTGCGATGTTGAAAAAATGCACGCTGTTGTGGCGCGAAGCACATTTTCAAAATGCACAAAGCACACCACGGACGTTCGGGCCACTTTTGGACGTTGAAGCGTCATTTTGTGTGGCAGGTGTCAAGGATTCTGCACCCTGCTAAAAGTGCGCAAAACGTGAGTGTTTTGTAGTAGTTTCAGAAACGTTGGCCGGCGCGGGGCTTGTGAAGAGGATCTGCAAAGATGCATTTCGCTTGGCAGGTGCAGTACAAGAGACACATGAGTCAGAGATGTTAGAAGGTCCGGGCGCTGATTTCCTGAGAGGTGTTGCGTTTTGGAGCATCAGATCTTAAGGTTTGCTAAAATGATTTTGCCTGACAGGTGCAGCACTTCGTATGACCTGGCCTCACTTTTTCGTGGCAGGTGCAATACTTTAGACACATGGAATGGAAAAATTGCAAAACGCAATGGTACGAGGCCGTCAGCTGCACTCAACTTGCCATTTTTGAAGGAAGTCTCGCAGAATTGCTTCGTTTTTGATGCTGTCAAGTGGGAAAATTGAGGAAGTCTCGCAGAATTGCTTCGTTTTTGACGTTGTCAAGTTCAAAAATTGAGAAAGTCTCACAGAATTGCTGCGTTTTTGATGTTGTCAAGCTCAAAACTTGAGGATATCTCGCAGAATAGCTTCGTTTTCAAGCTTGCAGATAGATAGATAGATAGACAGAAAGCTGTCTAGATAGACAGACGGACAGACAGATAGAGAGATAAACAGATAGATAGGTAGATAGATAGATAGACAGAGAGACAGAGAGACAGAGAGACAGACAGACAGACAGACAGGTAGATAGATAGATAGATAGATAGAGAAATAAACAGATATATAGATAGATAGAAAGAAAGATAGAAAGATAGATAGAAAGAAAGAAAGATAGATAGATAGAGAAATACACAGATATACAGATAGAAAGAAAGAAAGATAGATAGATAGATAGAGAAATAAGCAGATATATAGATAGACAGGTAGATAGACAACTGCAACTACACTACAGCTACACCTTCAGCTACATCTACAACTACAAGCACGCTTCAACTACTACAACTTCAGCAACTACAACTACGACTTCAACTACAAGTACATTTACCCTTACACAACACTTCAACTACAACTACACCTAGAACACCTACAACGACTACAAGAACTATATGCTAGAACTACTACAACTACACTACAACTACACTACAACTACCCTACAACTACCCTACAACTACCCTACAACTACCCTACAACTACCCTACAACTGCAGCCACAGCTACAACTACAACTACAACTTCCACTATACTACAGCAACACTACAACTGCACTACAACTACAACTACAAGTGCGCTACCGCTACCACTACCACTACCACTACACTACCACTACACTACCACTACACTACCACTACGCTACAACTACAGCTACACCTACAACTACGACTCCTACAGCTACTACAACAACATCCTCCTTGATTGAAGCCCTATGGAATGGAAGAACCCATGTCTCGTATGAAATGGAAAAACCAGGACCATTTCATAAACGGCCCTTTTTGGAAAACATAGCAAAAAAAACCTTTAAATTTTGGTGCCATGTTGGACCATCCATTTCATAAAAGGGGTGATAAATCCATTATATAAAGCTGCATTTTTCTTTGGACCCATTAGCCCCAAAATCGGCGTTTCCATAATATAAATGCTACTTTTTCCATTTTTTGTTGTGGTCTGGAATATGGTTATCATAATACAAAAGTAATAAGGTGGGATGGAGAATCGTTATAATTCAATCGGTGCTGATGTGCCAATTAAATGTAGCCTTCCATTTCATAAAAACTGATGATCCACCTGCCTTTGTGATCCATTGGGGTTTCGGTTCTGGAATCTTGGGCCCCAAATGGGCTTTATGAAATGGAACGTCTTGAAATATAACATAAACCCAATTTGAATTTCATTGGGAACACCTGATAGCAGTTACATTTTCTAGAAGGGAAACTTCACAAGCACCTATGCTGGTTTCATTACATAAACCAGATTTTTATGAAATGGTCGGGTAAGGGTACCTACACATTAACCAAGGGAGATACAACTACTACAATTACTGCAATTGCTGCAATTACTACAACAACAACTTCAACTACACTTCAACTACACTACAACTACAACCACAACCACAACCACAACTACAACATTAGAACTTCAACAGCGTCAACTACACTACAACTACAACTACCTCTACCACTACAACTACAACTACAACTACATTGCATTCGCTACACCACACTACACCCTGCAGTTGTGGGTGAGGTGACCACTGCAACCATTCCAAAAACCCCATCACCTTTCGGTCCACCAGTGGCTTTGCTCTGCCATCCGTGCATCACAACATCTCACCTCCCCTATAGTTTCCTATCTTTGAAACTTCCGCCATTGCCTTGCGCGGTACTACTGCTAACTTGACGTTCAAATAAACACATGGTATATGACCAACCAAGAAGCAGCATACAAGCAACAATCAGAATAGAACCGTGAAAGATGGTAGAATATGGTCAAGAAAGCGGAGTACGTGAGCAGCCTGTTGGAGCTACAAAGTGGGATGCTTGAAAGTCGAAGTCGCACCGGGTATCAAGTCCGTGGTGTCCATGGAAGCTCTGAACAAATTTTGGAGCCACTGCATTTAAGAACCCCAGAAGCTGAAATCCACGGTGAATGAAGCACAATCTGGCAACAGATTCCATGGCAAGCAGGACCCTGCTTTCCTTAAGAACTCACCTATGCGCAGGAAGCTTGAACTTGAAAAACAATGAAAAGCATATTACACCCTGGTCATCAAACATGGAAATGGAAAATATTCCACTCACTTTCTTTTATTTATATATATATATGTATGTATGTACATTTATACTTGTACTATCTATACTCTATACCCTATACTTCAGTGAGTTTCCCATCAATGGATGTCAATTTGGTTAGGAGCTAAGGAATTTAGCCAGCCATGTTTCAGGACACCGAAGGGTCTCCAGGATATTGCGACAAAATTGAATCCCATCCCCCCCCGTGGGGGTCGTCTGACAGACTCAGAACGTAGCCAAACCAGTCTGTTGATGGCTCATACATGTTCATACCCCCTTTGTTGTGGCTAAGTTTCTGCATGTTTCTACACATCCCTATTCCCAGCAAAATTTCCCCAATTCTGGATTGAATCCCAATCTTTCACATGCAGGCTTGGATGATGGGAAAAATTGTTTCGGTTTCATCCTTTCCTTCTCAGGGCAAAAACACCATGGTTTTCTGGGTAAAACATACCAGGCCTCAGTGATTGGTTTTGCTGTCCACAGGCGAGAAAGGCGGCAGAGGTGCGGTTGGCGGTGAAAATGTCAACCCCGGATTGAAACCCTGGGCCCCGCTGTTGATCCTTAGAGGTGTAGCGTTTTGGCAGCAGACTGTCCAACTTTTTGACAAACAAAATGGATGGCTAGGGACCTAACCATGAAAACTTGTGTCTCACCAAGAAAAAATTGGAGATTTACATGGATTTGCACAAAAACAATAGGCTAATGTCTTGGAAATCAGGCTGGATGATTACTGCAACACTGAATAGAGTGAGTACGTTGCCCTTTTGCCATTTGATGTGGATACATAAGCAGTTCCAATATGATTTGCAAATACACACAACACCACACGTATAAAGCACGGTGCCTGCCACAAGAAATAGACATCTCTGAAGTGCTGCGCTTGCCACAAAAAATGACAGTAATCTTACGAAAATCATTCAAGAGTATTTCGCCGGTCACACGAAAGGATTTTCGACACATGTCATCAACACGTGGGAATGTTGCCAAGTGCCACACCCGCCGCACAAAACCACAACAATGTCACTGAACAGTTATCTTGCGAAAATCGTTCAAAAGTGCGCCTGTCACACAAAGCGATTTTCGACACGCTATCTCACACGTCGGAATGTCACCAAGCGCAACGCCTGCGACAAAACTACATGTCACGTCTTGCAAAACCTTCAAAAATCACAACTTTCGCAGGTTCGCGACAGGCACGACCATATCTTCCCCATTGCGGACAGTCGCAGACGGTTGCCAACGGCAAGCAACGTCGAGCGAACACACCTCCACCCCAAGTCCCCCAAAGATAAACGAGAACCCTTCGCTCTGCATTCGGGAATTATATATATATATGTATACACACATAAACTTGGACCATCCCCATTAAGTAAATGCCAAAAATATGATTGAAAATGCAAAAGATTTACCCATTGTTGATGGTCAAAGTCTCATCCGTAGCCCAGAAGTCGCAACATCTTCGCCCCCAGCAGTACCTGCCCTCAAGATGCGGCGGTGGATGCCCCAACTCAAAAAAAAATAAGTTTTGGGCACAACTGTTCCAACAAGACATGAGGATGAAAGGGGAATAGCATACCTGGCCAGAGTATCCAACCGCTCTGCAAGGTGACGGGCAGCCAAATGCGCCCGCGCCGTATCAGCAACTTGGTGGCACTGAAGGCATGTCAGGAAACCCTAAGTGGCTTGTTCCGGCGTACACCTGCACAAGAGGAGCGATCTAATAGAGGAGAATTCAATCATCGAAAACTGGGGACTCGGAATCCTGGGGACATACCTAAGCCAGAAGTGATGAGAGTTGGGTATCCAAAGTAAAGGTATAGATTAACTAGGGCGACCTGTGTTCAGGAAGGGGCACCACCCCACAATGGCATGATTGCAGGTGAGTGAATCATTTCAATTCAGCCAGATGAGCGATTATTCTGCCTTCTCTTTGAGACCATGAACTACTGTGATGTATCGTGATGTAATCCCGATTTTTGTTCGGTGTGCCCAAAGTGTGGGGCAACAGTTAATCGAAAAAAAAGAAACGAAACAGGTTTAAAAGCAGCAACAACAACAACAACAAAACACAACAAAAACACACACTGCTTGTGAGGAGTAGGTTTCTTGAAATCTTATCTCTGAGCCCGCAAAAATATTTGACAGTTTACAATTTCATCTAATTTGATATTTGGCTAGTTGGAATGCTTGCACTTCCAGTTTTTCTCCTACTTGCAATTTGCATGGCAGCCACAACAGCCAGGTATCCTTACGGCTACTATCCGTACTCGCAGGAACAGGTTCAGGTGCGGTTGACTTTGTCTGGGTCCGTAATTTTCACCCATTCTGAGCTACGTCTACTTGAGACCAGGGTCCCACTTAGTAAACTCATGATTGCAGTGTTACAGTATATGTATTTATATGTCTTTAAATGTCATTTAGTTTCTTACAGTGAGTATCCATCTATTTGTCCATCTATCTTTCTATCTATCCATCTATCTATCCATCTATCTTCCCATCTATCTATCCATCTATCTATCTGTCCATCTATCGATCTATCTATCCATCCATCCATCTATCTATCATTATCTATCCTTATCGATCTATCCATCTATTCATCCATCCATCTATCCATCCATCCATCTATTTACCACTATCTTTCGTTTCATCTATCTATCCACCTATCTTTCCATCTTTCTTTTTTCTTTCTATCTTTCTCTCTGTCCATCTATCTATCCATCCATCCATCTATCCATCCATCCATCCATCCATCTGTCCATCCATCCACCTGTCGATCTATCTATCTATCCGTCTATCCATCCATCTGTCCACCGGTCGATCGATCTATCTATCTTCTTTCTTTTTTTAATATGCAGACTTTTTTGCGTATGACATGCTACGTCTTTATTTTAGATAGTCCACAAACTGTTCCAACTCTCGGCCCCTGGCTTCGGTTCAACCGCTGGGTTCAGGCCTGGGCCATGCAGCTGCAGTACTATCAACAAGCTCAACAGGCACAACAGGCTCAACAGGCCCAACAGGCCCAACAGGCTCTGCAGGCGCGCTGACAGGGCGATGTGACCATCAAGAATGCTGGTATAAATAGATGTAAGTGGGAAAAAGTGTATGTATATATTTAAATGTGTATATATAATATATATATATAGAGATTTGAAATGGGAGAAACTCACAGAATGAATAGAAACACCTGTAAACTAACAGATTCAAATCCGAGGTTTGATTTCAATTCAGGGGGAGATCATGGGGACAATCGGGGTGAATAATGACAACCTCACCACAACATCACAGCCTGAGAGATGGTTGGAATTGGGTGTATCCTGCCCAAATGGCTTTTTTTTCCTTTATTTCAGGTTGATGAATTATTGTCACTTGTCCTAGATACATTGCCTGAATTCTGCCAGTAAAACTTGACAGTCCTTTGATCAAAGGAGCTAACCTAGAATTTTGAGGAAACATTTCCTTTGCAGCGTTTCTGTGTCACTTTGAACATGTCCAGATGCGGCAACAAGCATAGTCTAGTCTAGAATAGCAATACCTAGTAATAGCAACCGTAATAACAGCCGTATGTTTGATTATACTATGTATACATAGTATATATATATATTTTTAGATAAAGTTAAGAATAACATGATACTATAGTATTTATGGTACTTCATACTTGATTGGTATAATATATATATATATACATAAAGTACTGAATGATATCACTGCCAGATAGTGCCCGGCCCATGCCGGGGCGGAAGTTTTTAAAAATGAAATGGCTATGAGAAATCAATGGCCTATAGGAAAGTTTTTGCGATGTAGAAACAAAGGCTTGTTGAAGTTGTGAGGTGCATCAAGAAATGAGCAAATGGTGGTTGAGGTACACATGAAATGACATCAAAGAATCCATGCACAAATGACCCAATGAACCAATGAATCAATGAATGAGTGAATTAGTGAGTCGATGAATCAATGAATGCAGTCAGTGAATCGATGATTCAGCAAATCACTGAATGCATGAAATGAAAAGAAATGAAGACTGAAAATGAAATGACCTGAAAAAATGACAAGTGAAACGAAATGGAATGGAATGAAATGAATGAATGAACGAACGACGAATGAATGAATAGGTGGGTCGGTTTTCAATGAGTCAGTGAATCAATGAAGCAATGGGTCAACGACTGGATGATGAGTCGATAAATCAATGAATCGATGCATCAACGAACCGATGATTCAGTGAATCAATGACCCGATGATTCAGTGAATCAAGGAACCAACTTAAAGCTTTTGTTGTTGTAAAAGGTCTTTGAGTTTTTATAAAAAAATAAAACCTCAGATGTGGCTTTGAATCAAACCAAAAAGTTTTTACTTGCTCACCCTGTTTTTCACAATTTGTTCTTTCTAAACTTAAACTCTTAGGGTTTGTGTTTTGTTTTACTTGCTCACCGTTTGTTTCACAATTTGTTCTTTATAAACTTAAACTCTTAGGGTTTGTGTTTTGTTTCACTTGCTCACCATTTTTCACAGTTTGTTCTTTCCAAACTTAAACTCTTAGGGTTTGTGTTTTGTTTTTGTGCCTCCATACAACATTGCCCCAAAATGCACCTTTACCAAAATGCGCACGGTCAGGGCTGGCAAGTAACAACCCATGTGTTTTAATACAAAAACACTGGCTTAATACTTGAATATGTCCACCATGCTACCAAAAACTTAAACTCTTAGGGTTTGTGTTTTGTTTTTGTGCCTCCATTTAACATTGGCCCAAAATGCACCTTTACCAAAATGCGCACGGTCAGGGCTGGCAAGTTACAACCCATGTGTTTTAATAGAAAAACACTGGCTTAATACTTTAATATTTCCACCATGCTACCAAAATCAAAAGACCTGCAAGGTTCAAGGGTTCAAAGGGAAAGAGTTGACACTGTGATAAAGAAACCGTGCTTAATGATGTCACAAGTTGATGCCTGATAACTACAAAATGCTCATGGTGTGAAAAATGCCACCTTAACAGTGACATGAGACTACGACTACAACGACGACTACCACTACGACTATGCCTCAGCCTCAGTCAAAAATGATGTCTTAATGGTGTCACAATGATGCCTCAGTGGTGTCAAATAAGTGATGCCTTAATGGTGTCATAATGATGCCTTTATGGTGTCAAATAGGTGATGCCTCAATGGTGTCACAAAAGTGATGCCTTAATGGTGTCACAAGATTGATGCCTTATTGGTGTCAAAAAAGTGATGCCTTCATGGTGTCACAAAATTGATGCTTTACTGGTGTCAAAAAAGTGACGCCTTTATGGTGCCACAAACATTGATGCCATGATGGTGTCATGCATTCATGATGCTGTGACAGTGCCATGCAACAGTGAAGATTAAGATACCCACCAAGTCCATACCTCAGCATCGCGCGCTGTCAGGATGGAGTTTCTACCCCCCTGGGCTTTACATGGGTATGGCCAAACAAAATGTTAGTTTTTGGGCCATTTTTCTGGGCTTGAAGGCTCCCAGGTTCAAAGCTAACAAACACCAGAAAGAACCATTCAAAGTCTTCAAGAATATTTTGTCTCATAGTTTTGGTCCCCATCTAAAACTATCCATACAATACTGATTGGTTAGTGACAGTGAAGTGCCAAACCCCACAAAACATGTTTGCCCCTGGATGAAACAGACCCCCATGGCCGTTTTGTTTTTGGCACCATCACGGCGCCAGTAAAAGACACCATCACGGCATCTTATCATTTTCGTGGCACCATCACGGCGCCAATAAAAAACACCATCACGGCATCTTATCATTTTCGTGGCACCATCACGGCACCACAAGAAACCAGGTTTATAACCCCCATTCATAATAGATATGATTGTTATCTAGGATAAACATTAGTAAACAAATATATCTATATATAGTTTTAATAGATTAGGAATTACATACATGCCAGTATAAGACACCATCACGGCATCTTGTCACGGCGCTAGCAAAAGACACCATCACGGCATCTTGACCGAGGCCCGGATTCCTGCCTGAACTTCGTGAAGCGCATGCAGTTGCGTTCCCTGGCCTTGGCCGGATGCAGCATGGTGCCAGGGGCCAGATCATGTGTTTCGGTGTATTTAGCATGAAACATGCAAGAACATGTATGGCTCCATTCCACCCAACCGCTTGCTGGCTTGTTTGCCACCGAGCTTTCAATCCGATGGAGGCATGCTGGGGATGAAAGATGTTGACAAAAACCACGTGGGTATGGCTCAAAATGTTGAATCTGACACATCCATTCCTCATGACATTCAATCATTTTGATGATGATTGCGAACTATGACCTTTCAAACTGCTAAACATCAATCTAGCAGGTTTGAACCGGAACATGTTTGAACTCAATCAATGCAAAACTGGTTTTATTTCGCTATCATGTCGTGTCAACAGATGGAATTAAGCACATAGGATGTTTTGCTCATATTTTCCTTAAAATTCAAACTTGCTTGACATAAAAACTAGTACACGCTGCTCGGCCACCATCAGATGTTGCAAAATGTTGCAAACAGAAAAAATAGAATTATCCAGAAATAACCCGGAATATATTGGAGGATAACATGAACAAGCAATGGGTTAATTTCAGTTCAAACTGTTTGCAACACCTGATGGCGGCTACAGCTCCTGTGCGCTGGTTACAGCTTCTGTGCGTTGCCTGCCATGATCTGCCATGATGTCCTATGATGTGGTGTTTTTTGAATTGTTGATGTCTGCCTGTCTGTCTGTGTGTGTGTGTGGGTGTGTGTGCCTGCCTTTGTGCAGCGCAATTGCAACTTGAAAAAGATGATGGAGATAAACCCATTGGAAGTGGAGCGGCGCATGGCAGAGGCAATTCGGCACTTTGACGTTGAAGTTGCTCGACAGAGGGCGGCAAAAGGGCGGAAATTCCTTTTGGAACATCCTTCCAGCGCTTCATCATGGAACTTACCAAGTGTTCTGCAGCTTTGTCAAGAGATTCCAGGGTGCCGCTTTTGTTGCGTTGCCCAATGCCGCTATGGGCTGAAATCTCCTGGAACTAATGGGAATGAGAAAACTCACCAAGTTCCTGACGAACAGTGATGCCATCTACCAGGAGTTCTATGGCAAGAAATGCCTGTGCAGAAGCCAAGGCCTTGTACACCAAAAAATCGAGGGTTCCATCAATGGTGTGAGTTTGAGCAAATTTGCTCAAATCTATCCAGCTCCGCTGGTACAAGCGGTAGTGTCATGCTGCCAGCGAGAGTTCTTGAACCCCTAAGACCAGGGTGAAAAGGCATCTCGTTGCCAGGATTGAGCACTCAATTGGTGCAGCCCTTTGTTCACGAAAAAAAAAGTCAAAGCGCTTGATTCATGTGGTGCTCCATGTTCAACGGATGTTGGAAAAAAACAATGGAGTTTGAAGAACAAGTTTTTCGACGGATTCCTGAACAAGAGGGAACCAAAAAAAACCGCCGGATTTTCTAGACGAAGGGCATGATGGATTTTCCGACGGATTTTGCAAAACAAGATTTCCGACGGATTTTTGAACGTAAAGGAAAAACAACCCGTCGGATTTTCTAGACGAAGGGCATGCTGGATTTTCAATGGACAGCCCACCATTGATTATCAACAAATCCTTGATGCTCAGGCTCTTGCGTGGGAGATCTGCAGAATAAAATTTTATTCAACGGATCTTTGTGCGGGACCTGAGATCCATGGGATTTGGCCCTGGCGGAGATTAGACGCAGACATCTGAGGATTATCAGGGCCCTGGGCCAAGATCTAAAGAATAAAATTTTATTCAACAGATCTCCCACGCAAGAGCCTGAGCATCAAGGATTTGTTGATAATCAATGGTGGGCCGTCCATTGAAAATCCAGCATGCCCTTCGTCTAGAAAATCCGACGGGTTGTTTTTCCTTTACGTTCAAAAATCCGTCGGAAATCTTGTTCTGCAAAATCCGTCGGAAAATCCATCATGCCCTTCGTCTAGAAAATCCGGCGGTTTTTTTTGGTTCCCTCTTGTTCAGGAATCCGTCGAAAAACTTGTTCTTCAAACTCCATTGTTTTTTCCAACATCCGTTGAACATGGAGCACCACATGAATCAAGCGCTTTGACTTTTTTCCATGAACAAAGGGCTGCACCAATTGAGTGCTCAACCCTGGCAACGAGATGCCTTTTGACCCTGATCTTAGGGGTTCAAGAACTCTCGCTGGTAGCATGACACTACCGCTTGTACCAGCGGAGCTGGATAGATTTGAGCAAATTTGCTCAAACTCACACCATTGATGGAACCCTCGATTTTTTGGTGTACAAGGCCTTGGCTTCTGCACAGGCATTTCTTGCCATAGAACTCCTGGTAGATGGCATCACTGTTCGTCAGGAACTTGGTGAGTTTTCTCATTCCCATTAGTTCCAGGAGATTTCAGCCCATAGCGGCATTGGGCAACGCAACAAAAGCGGCACCCTGGAATCTCTTGACAAAGCTGCAGAACACTTGGTAAGTTCCATGATGAAGCGCTGGAAGGATGTTCCAAAAGGAATTTCCGCCCTTTTGCCGCCCTCTGTCGAGCAACTTCAACGTCAAAGTGCCGAATTGCCTCTGCCATGCGCCGCTCCACTTCCAATGGGTTTATCTCCATCATCTTTTTCAAGTTGCAATTGCGCTGCACAAAGGCAGGCACACACACACACACACCACACACACAGAGACAGACAGGCAGACATCAACAATTCAAAAAACACCACATCATAGGACATCATGGCAGATCATGGCAGGTAACGCACAGAAGCTGTAACCAGCGCACAGGAGCTGTAGCCGCCATCAGGTGTTGCAAACAGTTTGAACTGAAATTAACTCATTGCTTGTTCATGTTATCCTCCAATATATTCCGGGTTATTTCTGGATAATTCTATGTTTTTGTTTGTAACATTTTGCAACATCTGATGGTGGCCGAGCAGCGTGTACTAGTTTTTATGTCAAGCAGGTTTGAAATTTAAGGAAAATATGAGCAAAACATCCTATGTGCTTAATTCCATCTGTTGACACGACATGATAGCGGAATAAAACCAGTTTTACATTGATTGAGTTCCAACATGTTCCGGTTCAAACCTGCTTGACAAGTCTAGCCTGGGGAGATTGATGTTTAGCAGTTTGAAAGGTCATAGTTCGCAATCATCATCAAAATGATTGAATGTCATGAGGAATGGATGTGTCAGATTCAACATTTTGAGCCATACCCACTTGGTTTTTGTCAACATCTTTCATCCCCAGCATGCCTCCATCGGATTGAAAGCTCGGTGGCAAACAAGCCAGCAAGCGGTTGGGTGGAATGGAGCCATACATGTTCTTGCATGTTTCATGCTAAATACACCAAAACACACGATCTGGCCCATGGATTCCCTGGCACCATGCTGCATCCGGTCAAGGCCAGGGAACACAACTGCATGCGCTTCACGAAGTTCAGGCAGGAATCCGGGCCTCGGTCAAGATGCCGTGATGGTGTCTTTTGCTAGCGCCGTGACAAGATGCCGTGATGGTGTCTTATACTGGCATGTATGTAATTCCTAATCTATTAAAACTATATATAGATATATTTGTTCACTAATGTTTATCCTAGATAACAGTCATATCTATTATGAATGGGGGCTATAAACCTGGTTTCTTGTGGTGCCGTGATGCCATGAAAATGATAAGATGCCGTGATGGTGTTTTTTATTGGCGCCGTGATGGTGCCACGAAAATGATAAGATGCCGTGATGGTGTCTTTTACTGGCGCCGTGATGGTGCCAAAAACAAAACGGCCATGGGGGTCTGTTTCATCCAGGGGCAAACATGTTTTGTGGGGTTTGGCACTTCACTGTCACTAACCAATCAGTATTGTATGGATAGTTTTAGATGGGGACCAAAACTATGAGACAAAATATTCTTGAAGACTTTGAATGGTTCTTTCTGGTGTTTGTTAGCTTTGAACCTGGGAGCCTTCAAGCCCAGAAAAATGGCCCAAAAACTAACATTTTGTTTGGCCATACCCATGTAAAGCCCAGGGGGTAGAAACTCCATCCTGACAGCGCGCGATGCTGAGGTATGGACTTGGTGGGTATCTTAATCTTCACTGTTGCATGGCACTGTCACAGCATCATGAATGCATGACACCATCATGGCATCAATGTTTGTGGCACCATAAAGGCGTCACTTTTTTGACACCAGTAAAGCATCAATTTTGTGACACCATGAAGGCATCACTTTTTTGACACCAGTAAGGCATCAAGTTTGTGACACCATGAAGGCATCACTTTTTTGACACCAATAAGGCATCAATCTTGTGACACCATTAAGGCATCACTTTTGTGACACCATTGAGGCATCACCTATTTGACACCATAAAGGCATCATTATGACACCATTAAGGCATCACTTATTTGACACCACTGAGGCATCATTGTGACACCATTAAGGCATCATTTTTGACTGGGGCTGAGGCATAGTCGTAGTGGTAGTCGTCGTTGTAGTCGTAGTCTCATGTCACTGTTAAGGTGGCATTTTTCACACCATGAGCATTTTGTAGTTATCAGGCATCAACTTGTGACATCATTAAACACGGTTTCTTTATCACAGTGTCAACTCTTTCCCTTTGAACCCTTGAACCTTGCAGGTCTTTTGATTTTGGTAGCATGGTGGAAATATTAAAGTATTAAGCCAGTGTTTTTCTATTAAAACACATGGGTTGTAACTTGCCAGCCCTGACCGTGTGCATTTTGGTAAAGGTGCATTTTGGGCCAATGTTAAACGGAGGCACAAAAACAAAACACAAACCCTAAGAGTTTAAGTTTTTGGTAGCATGGTGGACATATTAAAGTATTAAGCCAGTGTTTTTGTATTAAAACACATGGGTTGTTACTTGCCAGCCCTGACCGTGCGCATTTTGGTAAAGGTGCATTTTGGGGCAATGTTGTATGGAGGCACAAAAACAAAGCACAAACCCTAAGAGTTTAAGTTTGGAAAGAACAAACTGTGAAAAAATGGTGAGCAAGTGAAACAAAACACAAACCCTAAGAGTTTAAGTTTATAAAGAACAAATTGTGAAACAAACGGTGAGCAAGTAAAACAAAACACAAACCCTAAGAGTTTAAGTTTAGAAAGAACAAATTGTGAAAAAATGGTGAGCAAGTAAAAACTTTTTGGTTTGATTCAAAGCCACATCTGAGGTTTTTAAAAAAAAACTCAAAGACCTTTTACAACAACAAAAGCTTCTTATCAGTGTACGAGCGAACTACTGAGTCGATGATTCAATTAGTGATAGTGAATCAATAATCATTGAGGCAGTGACTGAGTGAATTATTGTAGTGAGTCCATGAATCATGAATCAGTGAATCACTGACCGAACGGCTTAGTGAGTCGATGAATCAATGAACCAATGAACGAACGAAAGAATGAGTGAACTATTTCCTTAGCTGGGCGACCTCTTCGCTGAGGTACCTCTTCTCTCAGCTACTTCTTCTCTAAGCAGCCTCTTTTCTGGGCTGCTTCTTCTTTAACTCTGCTCTGAGCTGCCTCCCAGCTCGCTCTTCTGTAGCTTCTGCAACCCTGTTCTTCTCTTCGCACAACTCTTTCAATGCATTTAGCCACCTCCAGCTGCAATCCTGCATAGCACACTACCTTTCACGCAGCTGTTGCAGTGCGTTTAGCAACCTCCAGCTGCAGTCCCGAGCGTCACAGCATCACTGATGCTTTGCTGCGCGCAGCCGTGCCAATGCGTTTTGTCACAGCCGGTTGCAAACCCGCGTAGCAGGATTATCGCATGACATCGCGCAACTTCCGCGCAGCGTCAACAGTGAGGACTCGACCACACAAACCCGGGGCTGCTCCGAACCCTTCAGTTTTTCCGTTCATTTTATGAAACCGAGCTCTCGCTGCAGTCTCGTGCGCATTTTGCCGACCTCATCTTCCAAGTGCTCTGCGGCTGCCAGTTTTTTTAACATCTTGAAGTATGAGTGCAAATCGAGCTTTCGGCACAGTCCGGTCCCCTTTTTGTCGACAGGCTTCCCACATTGAGGCGCGGAACCGCGGAAATGCAGAAACAGAGACTCTACGTCGGCGACCCCAGAAGCCACATTGCCCGAAACAAAACAGAGTGTTTCGCGCACAAAAGCGTTTCACCGGTGAACTCACACACTTCCAAAATTGTTACTCTTCTCTGCTGCTTCCACACGTGAGCTGCTCTTGCTCACCATGTTTTTGCCATGATGACAGGACGATAGGACTGCCCCCGGACATTCGTCACGAGTAACTCGGAAGTTTTCGAACTAAACTTCCTATGAAGATGTAGTACTGTAATGTATAGAACTATGGAATACTATTGATATATTATTACTAGACGTAAATATATATATATGTATATATATATATATGTGTGTGTATGGTACTTCAGTACTATACCATATAGAGATTCGGATATGAATGAGACAACTTCCCGAGGCTCAGGCCTACTATCGCGGCTTGACCGGTGGCGTCATCATCCCCAGCGAGGTGCAGAAGTTGTCATCTCGATGACGTTTTTTGCGTGGGTCGAAGCTGGAGAAATGTGGGAGATTTAACACAATTGAACACGGTGATTGCATGGGATGTATCCAAGAAAAACAGTGGTTTACTGAAGTTTACTGGAATTGGAACATCAAAAATGGTGATTGATTGATTGGATTTGACCGTCAAGAACGACAAACGTGGTATATTTAGTATGAATATGATGACAATAATGGGGATAGAATGGGAATGAATGGGACATAATGAGACAGAATGATAGAACTAACCAACATCATATGATAGTTGGGTGTGTCTGAAAACTTGAATACCCTAATTTATTGCTATTTCTTGGGGAACATGATCATCAACCAGTGGATGGAATAGGGTATTGGTACATACTTATACTTATTCAGAGAAACCTATGTTTTTGTGGGACGTTCGACCTTCTGTTTTGGGAATATGGACATTGGTGATATGTTCTTGCATATATATATATATATTTTTTTTGAAAGTTTGGTTCTGTATTTCACCTTTGACATTGAATTGTATGGGTATATACAGGGTATACTCTCAGGCAGACGAACAAATAGCAGCTAAATAGCAATGCACATCTGTAATCCATGATCATTTCCCTTGTAAATGATTCGCAGTGGATTTTCCATGTCTATCTCAGTTTTCTGGAGGGCACACTGGGATAGATTGAGTATATTTTGGGAAATCGGATACTCAGTATTCATGAGACTATCATGTGTATATCAGTAGTCGCAGGAAGTTTAGAAGTCAAATTTCCGACAATATGGACAGATGAAATGGGCAGAGTCAGAGAAGAGAAGAGAAGAGAAGAAAGAACATAAAAAAAGAGAAAGTCTAAGAATAAAGAAGATCCAGGTGCGCGAAAAGGTAGGACAGTTGCGAAACACTGTGTTTTCTCAATGATTTGTGGCTTTTGAGGGTCGAAAAGTAGGCTCGCTAAAGCGGCGGGTGCGGAGCTATGTGGTCAGATGAGAGATGAAAAGTTGCACGCGGCTGTGGCGCAAAGCAATCGTGGAAACTTCCGCCACCGCCTTGTGCGGCACTACTGGTATATCATTACGATACCAGAGATCCTGCGAAATTGTGGGTTTATCCTGCGTCCTTGAATGAATTTTATGCCTATATAAATATGAGAGTCCCAGAGGCTCTCTGGCCAGCTTTCATGGCAAATGATTTGGGCCAGGGGCAGGCGATGGCCCACTCCTTCCAGTATCTAATGTTTGGAAAGAGAGGCCCTGAAACAAGATTTGCTGGATGAAAGGGAGGATTTATGCATTGCGACATGATACTAGCTGCTGTACAGCTGGCTAGATTTTGGTCTTTCACAATGTGTGAAAACCAAAGAGGTAGCCAAACATGGTTCGGAAATCCGTTAAAGTTTTATTGGAAAATATCTGTCAATAAGCATTTTCCATTGCAAGGTTGGCTTACCAGAGAGTAAGACCTTAAGCAGATTGAAAAGTTTATCGATTTTCAATTAAAAACTCCAGGATAAAACGCGCTTAGCTCTAACAATACACCATGAGACGTGCCACCGCCAGGCGGCCATTTCTTCAGCGTCTTACCCTGCCTCAGATGCACGTCCGTTTCTCAGGGAAAGTGCGGCACCTGCAGCCGCTGCGGCACCCTCGTCTGACAAGGTGTACACAGGTCAAGTGAAACTTGGCGTGAAACCCTGCGGAACAATGGGCGTTCTGGAGGGATACACATGTTTTGCAACAGACCCAAGAAGATGCAGATGTTAGCAAAATGCAATCCTCAAACAGTGGTAAATTGAACCTTGTCGATTTTCCAGGGTTGCTTCACTTAGGTATCAACACGACGGGGGGCTCAAGGATATGCACTTAGAAACAGAAATTGAAGGTAAGTAAACTTAAAACACTTCAAGCATCTGAAACAAATTCGGGGGGGCCACTTACAATGGGCTGGCTTGTGGCGTCAATGATGTTTCAAGCTCCATCCGTACATACGGGGTAATTCTAAGATCCCAATGTCTAGTAAGTATACCACTGTAGTAGTCTTGGTATTTTTTGGTTGCTATTGGCTGAAAAAAGAAGTCGATAGCGATCTGATGCACAAAGTCACGAGAGGGTTGCGCGTTCGCACTGCGCCACAACGAGAGTGATCCGGAAAAAACGACAGCCACTGAATCGAGGTCTACAAAGTACTGTGCCTGCCTCGAGGAATGAGCCTGAGGCGTCCGAAGTGCTTCACCTGCCACACGGAATCATCATCATGCCCAAAAATCAAAAATGCTGACGACGACAGTTTCAGCCACACGGATGAAAAAGTGTCGGATGTCTTGCACCTGTCACGCAACGCAACGTTTTAGACTTCAAAATGTCCCGGATGTCCCACACGCCACGCGAGATTGACAGAGCTCAAAAAAACGAGCACGGCATGCTAGTAAAACGACCTTCGGAAAGGAGCAAAACGGGACAACCGTTTTGCGCGAGCCTGCGGAGTCGAAGTGCCCGTGAACATCTCACAAGGGAATTTGTGTGCGAAAATTTGCAGTTCAAAAGCCGGGGGCCAGATGGAGCACCCTGATCTAACCCTGGTCTCTTACACCTTACATCTACCGTAAGAACCCCTCAGTGTGGACACACTGTTTGAGGAAAAGTGTATGTGTACACAAATTTATTGCCAAGTAAATTGGATATTGGGAAAACATGGGAAAACACGAAAACGATGTTTGATTCGGATTTTTTTCTCAGGCAGAGCCACATCCATGCTTCATGGGTCAAATCCCTAATTTTGGTTGGTGAATCCCAAGCAAATACCTGATAAAATCCAGAAAATCACATCCCCAAATTCATGGTAATCTCAATCTCTTTGGATGTGAAAGTCGCACAAGTCATATCTTCATTATAATCTCATTATATATGTATATATTTTATATCCCATCAAGAATCCCATTATCCATTGATGTACCCAATTTTCCTTGGGTTCTTCTGAGAAAACGTATCATCTCAGGAAATCGATCAGCAATAAAAACGGCTACGGTTTCATCGCCTGCACCTTGGACCGAATTTGCCCAATGAACAAGTTCTTCGTGTTTAATCATGATCGATAACATTACATAACCTTAGTTATATATATATATTTTTTTTAATGTTAATTCCATTTCTAGTTGTTAATTGGGTTATAACTGCAACAA